ATCTGGCAGCAGAAGTAAATCAGCAGGTATTATTCTCTGAAGGTCATCCTAGTCCAAAGAGGTGACAGACAGATACCCACTGTCCAGTGAATTCCAGCTCCATATTCAGCTCTGTTTCCCAATTACTGATCCATCAACTGTCTTCTGAATCTACACTTTCCCAGAAACTTCCACAATTGTGTAAGGTCTTATTCTATAATAAATCCTAGAGCACTCATTAATGACTCTGCTCCCTTGAGTACAACCTGATGCAGTGAACCTACAGGGAATCCACTGCTTCTATGCCATTCAGTGGTTCTTGCTTTAGGTCTATGTGAAGATGAAAAAAAGCAGTCCATCTCCCTTTGGAAAACCTGTGTACTCCCTCTACCGAAAAAGTCTTCTAATTTATAGAGAGTTAATAAGTTAGTGGAGATCAGCAGGCAGAGTGATAAAATATCTATCAGTTTTGCCTTAAAATTAAACACTCCATATGCTTATAATCCTGTTCTTTGCCAGCACAGTCACTTAATTAGGACATTCCCAAGTTGAAACTCTCCTTAGAATAAAAGCTGTTAAACCTCCCTAAAAGAAATTCTCTCAGAATTACTTTTACATTAGATAAATGCCATTCAATAACTTAAAATACAGCCCTGTGGGTTAATTTAATTTTTAATAAAGGGGAGGGAAATAAAGTAGCCAGCAGTTTTGCTTAAGAATCTTTACCTTTGTATTCTTTATAACAATCGGATATTGCATTCCTGAAAAAAAAAAGTAAAAAATTTATTTTTAGCAAAAGGCCAATATTATTTGAAATATTACACTAGCAACAAACTTAAATAACTCTTTTTCTGTCATTACTATGATTGTACCCTACAGTTCATTCTGAAACTTTTTACCAAATAACAATGAAACTAGTTCATACTTAACAACATATAAAACTCCAGCATGTTTTTAGCTTGGTTTTAACTCATCTAATCTATGCTTATAAACCATACCCCACCTGACCTCCAACATAGACATAGCTATTATAATCCTGGAAACCACACTGTATAATGGATCATCATAAACCAGTATGTATTTTCCCACAGAACTAAAGCTATGATATGAGAAACCTTGCCATCCACGTGTTGGTTACTGGATTCTTTGCAGGTTCTACATTGTTTAGAGAAGCAAGAGTTTTCGCAACACAAAAACTTCCAATAAAAAACTGACCATTTTTAAAATTAGTTCCCACTCAGATACACGGGATCTCAAAGTTTTATAAAGCATACATAGAGCAGATAAATATAATCTACTTGTACCATAAATTTGGTTTATTATGCTACCTATCTAAAAAAACTTTAATTATTTAACAATTTTGCTCATCATTTTAGAATTCAGAAAGACAGAATGATTCAGATGGCTTAGATCTCCTTAAAAACCTGTCAAGGAAGAAAGAACAGAATACTACTTTTTTTCCCCTTCAAATTTCTCAACAGCAAATAGAAGTCTCAAAAATCTATCATCTGGACAAAAAAAAAATTAATGCCCTCAAAGCAAAACAAGACAAACTCTTAATTGCACTCTTAAACTGTGTGGGGGCTGGGCATGAGGTGGGGGGAGTTCCAAATGACCAGGTCATTTTATGACCTTAGGCTGTCATTCTGACATTCTGAAACTTGGGTGTGTCTAAAAATCACTAAAAGCTTATTACTAGGTGCTATTTCCAGACAGTCTGATTCAGTAAGTCTGGGTGATGCTAACATTTGCATTTTGGGCCAGGCACGGTGGCTCATGCCTGGAATCCCAGTATTTTGGGAGGCCAAGGTGGGCAGGTCGTTTGAGCTTAGGGGTTCAAGACAAGCATGGACAACATAGTGAGACCTTGTCTCTTTTTATAATTTAAAAAAAAAAGAAGAAGAAGAAGGAAGGAAGAAAAGAAGAAAAAGGATATTTAAAAAGATAGCTTGGATCCCTTTCATGGTTCTCCAAATACACAAGCAGGCTGAGCACAGTGGCTCACTCCTGTAACCCTGGAACTTTGGGAGGCTGAGGTGGGTGGGTCACCTGAGGTCAGGAGTTTGACACCAGCCTGACCAACATGATGAAACCCCATCTCTACTAAAAACACAAAATTAGCTGGGCATGGTGATGCATGCCTGTATTTCCAGCTACTCAGGAGGCTGAGGCAGGAGAATCACTTGAACCTGAGAGGCGGAGGTTGGAGTGAGCCAAGATCGCGCCATTGCACTCCAGCCTAGGCAATAGCGTGAGACGCCGTCTTGAAAGAAGAAAAAAAACAAAAGAAATATATAAGCAAAAGAGTTCTTTTGAAATTACTCCTTAGTGGTACTGACACCTCTCTAAGACTGAGCCACATAGGTCACTGCTTTTTTTTTTTTTTTTTTTTTGAGACAGAGTCTCACTCTGTTGCACAGGCTGGAGTGCAGTGCACTGGTGCAATCTCAGCTCACTGCAGCCTCTGCCTACCAGATTCCAGCAATTCTCCTGCCTCAGCCTCCGGAGTAGCTGGGTTACAGGCACGCATCACTACACCCAGTTAATTTTTGTATTTTTAGTAGAGACAGGCTTTTACCATGTTGACCAAGCTGGTCTGGAACTCCTGACCTCAGGTGATCCACCCACCTCGGCCTCCCAAACTGTGGGATTACAGGCATGAGCCACCGTGCCTCCCAGGTCACTGCTTTATACAGACATATTTACAGCTGTCAATAAAAGGATCAATTCAGTCCTGTACTCTTCACAGAGACACAAGGTTTGCCAATTTTCCTACTGACTACGTTTGCCATTTAGAGATACAGAACCTGAATAGTTATACCGGTAAACTGGACATCTGAGTCCCATAGGATTTTGCAAATTAAAAAAAAAACTATTTTATGTAATTAAAACAAATTTTTTTATGTTTAGTAAAGATGGGGTCTCACCATGTTGCCCAGGTTGGTCTTGAACTCCTGAGCTCAAGCGATCCACCCACTTTGGCCTCCCAAAGTGCTCAGATTACAGGCGTGAGCCACTGCCCTCAGTCCTAAAAAAAAAAATTTTTTTTTTGAGACAAGGTCTCACTGTGTTGCCCTGGCTGCAGTGCAGTGATACGATTATAGCTCACTGCAGCCTCAAACTCCTGTGCTCAAGCAATCCTCCTGCCTCAGCCTCCTAAGTAGCTGGAAGTACAGGTGTGTGCTACCATGCCCAGGGAATTTTAAAAAATTTTTTGTAGAGACAGGTCTCGCTATGTTGCCCAGGCTGGTCTTAAACTCCTGGCCTCAAGTGATCCTCCTTCCTTGGCCTCTCAAAGTACTTCTGAAAATTTTAACTTCACAATTAGATTTGCTGTCTAGACTTCTAAGGGAGAAAAAAAGGAAAAAAAAAATTCTCCAGAATGGTATATGTTCCTTAGGAGTGGTAAAGTCTAGCACACTGGAAGACTAATTTACATGTTGATATATATAGACAAGCCAAAAGGAAATGTCATGTCATATGAAAATTTTTTCTCTCCTTTCCAGGAGTATAATAAATTATCATTCAAGCTGGGTGTGGTGGCTCACGCCTGTAATCCCAGCACTTTGGGAGGCTGAGGCAGGAAGATCACCTGAGGTCAAGAGTTTAAGACCAGCCTGGCCAACATGGTGAAACCATGTCTTTACTAAAAATACAAAATTAGCCAGATGGCACATGTTTGTAATCCCAGTTACTTAGGAGGCTGAGGCAGGAGAATCGCCTGAACCCAGGAGGCAGAGTTTGCAGTGAGCCAAGATTATCCCATTGCACTCCAGCCTGGGTGACAAGAGTGAAATTCTGCCTCAAAAAAAAAATCAATAAAATATAAAATAAAATAAAAATAAATTATCATTCATAGTTATAAAATTCTGGTTTTATAGGAACTTTCAAAATTCTTCAGTTTATGGTTCTTTGTCCTTTTTGTAGTCTACTGGTTTATTTCTATTCCTGGTTGTTCAAACTAGTCTAACTGTAAGTCTAGAGCAATGGTTCTCAACTAGGAGTGACTCCTTCACCCCCAACTCTAAGGGAACATTTGCCAACGTTTAGAGACACCTTTTTTTTTTTTTCCGTCACAGAGTCTCCCTCTGTCGCCCAGGCTGGAGTGCAGTGGCGTGATCTTGGCGCACCGTAACCTCCGCCTCCCGGGTTAAAGTGATTCTCATGCCTCAGCCTCCTGAGTAGCTGGGACTACAGGCGTAAGCCACCACGCCCAGCTAATTTTTTGTATTTTTAGTAGAGATGGGGTTTCACCATGTTGGCTAGGATGGCCTCGATCTCTTGACCTCATGATCCGCCCACCTCGGCCTCCCAAAGTGCTGGGATTACAGGCGTGAGCCACTGTGCCCGGCCTAGAGACATTTTTAATTGTAATCACTTGGGGGCGTGATGGTACTGGCATCCAGTGGACAGAAGCCAGGGATACTGCAAAACATCCTACAGTGCACCGATAGCCCCCTACAACAAAGAATGATCTGGCCCCAATATCAATAGTGTCAGAATTAAGAAACCCTTTCCTAGACCTCCCCTCTGCAATTACCTTGGTATCCTACTTTCCTAGTCCAGCCTCTTAGCTTCCACCTTCCTGTTGTGCTTCACAGCCAGTCTTTTTCCTTCATTCTAACCACCAATTTCTCAAACTCTTCTGTCTTCATTTAAACCAGTGAAGCTTTCCACCTGACATCTTTGTTAATCTGAAATTCTTGCTCATTATTCAGCTTGTGGGGAACATGGTGTGGGTCCAATATAGTTCAGTAATTAACCATGTGGGCTTTAGGTACAGACTGTCTGAGTTGAAATCCAGACTCCACCACTTACTACTTGTACAACCATGGCCAAGTTTCTTACTCTCTCTGTGCCTCAGTTTTCTCACCCTAAAAAAATGTGAGTAATAATGGTACCCTGCCACAGAAAATTTTAAGAGTCAAATGAGTTAATACTTGGAAAGCACTAAGTGCTTAATAAATGTTAGCTATTGGCCAGGCACAGTGGCTCACACCTGTAATCCTAGCACTTTGGGAGGTCAAGTGGATGGATCACTTGAGTCCAGGAGTTCAAGAGCAGCATAGGGAACATGGTGGAACCCTGTCTCTACAAAAAATACAAAAATTGGGACGGGCACGATGGCTCACACTTGTAATCCTAGCACTTTGGGAGGCCGAGGAGGGAAAATCACTTGAGCTCGGGAGTTCGATACCAGCCTGGGCAACACAGTGAGACCTCATCTCTATAAAAATTAAAATTAAAAAAAAAGGAAAAATACAAAAATTAGCCAGGTGTGGTGGTGGCAAGCACCTGTAGTTTCCCCTACTGGGACGGCTCAGGTGGGAGGATCACTTGAGCCTGGGAGGCGAAGGTTACAGTGAGCGGGGATCACGCCACTGCACTCCAGCCTAGGCGACAGAGCAAGACTCTGCCCCAAGGAGAAAAAAATGCATTTTTAACAAGCATTGTCAAGAGATGCTGACTCTAACCTACAGGGTAGGGAAGTGTTTGGAGACGAATTTTCCATAAACAGCCTTGGCAGTTCAGATTTTAGCACCAGTCAGAAGTGTCGGACCAGGGTCTGGTTCTACCAGCACAAGACCCTCCAGGAGTCCCAGTTCTCTCACATTCAGTCTCATCCTTGTCCCTTCTGCCCCTACCTCTGGTTCTGCACCGTACTCTAGCCTAGCTCCTTGTGGCTCTCCCACCAGTACTACCCCCAAAAATATCCCAATTAAAAAAAAAAAAATCACTGTAAGTACAGCTGTTCCTTAGTATCCAAGGAGGATTGGTGGCAGGAACCCCACAAATACCAAAATTCAAGGATACTTAAGTCCCTTATATAAAATGCATATAACATTTGCATATAACCTGTGCACAGACTCTGGATATTTTAGATAATTTCTAGATTACTTACAATACCTAATGCAATGTAAATGCTATTTTTTGTTATACTACATTTTTTATTTGTATTAGGTATTGTTCTACTGTTATTATTATTTTTTTTTTCCCAAATATTTTTCATCCTCGGTTGGTTAAAACCACAGACGCAGAACCCATGGATATGGAGGGCTGATCTTTTCAATAGAAAAGACAAGGATAGCTCACCATCTATACTTCTTGAAGGACTTTCTTTAGCCATTTCAATATCTTTTACTTCAAAATTAGTCAAGACAGAGCCACCTGCTTCTTGGAAATCCTGGGCAAATGACAAAGCCACCTGCCGATAGTCCACAATGCCAGTATGTGGACAATCAATTGCCATTAGACCCTGAAACAGAATTATGAAAAGATAACAGATAAGAGAAATAATACTTGCTAAATAACAAAATCTCTATAATCAAGAAACAATTTTGTCCTTTAGAGGAGTTGATTTTGCCAAGCTTTTCTTGCTGCTACAATGAGTTTTTCCATTTATTTATCCCTCACCATACCTGACTCTGATTTGATTCATATCTGATTCTGAGTTGAATTCTGTATCATCAAACAATTATGTTTTAAATAAGCTCTAGTGAGATTTTTCCCAGTAGCACATACTACATTGTGCATACTTGGTAAGAACTCAAGAGTTGTTCTAGCTACTCACAATGTTTCCAGAGCATTGCTTTGACTTGCTGCCCAGACCCTATCTTTGAGACTACAAATATGGAATGGAGATTTTATGTGGTTAACTCAAACTTTTTCTTCAGGTAATACAAGAAATTAATAGACTGGTTTTTGTTTGTTTGTTTCTGTTTTTGTCCCTAAAGACATATCCAAATCAATGTTCATCAATCTGTAGGTGAATGACCTATATAACACATGCTTATTTTATTTTTTTAGAATAAATGTTGAACATGTCATTGACCTTTTCTAATTCTAAAGAAAAGGATAAGAGGAGAATTTCACACACTAAGTACTGACTACATTTTGGTGATCATTGTTAACAGCGCCATTTTCTGTTGCCCTTTTTTGCATATCAGTATATCAGTTCTCCCAATCAATTTTCCCAAGAGGGTAGCCTGCTATCCAGGATAACATCCAGAAGGTGAGTGCTATTGATAAATTCTGCCATCCTCTCATTTGGCCAGCACAGCACTATCGTTGTTGTGGTTTTAAAATAATATCAGATATAATACTATTGTAAAGATCTCACTCTTGTATTCACCACCTGACCATTACCCCAACACATTCACCTGCTTGGCCCTTAGAAGATTTTCACTTTGCGGCTAGGTGCGGTGGCTCACGCCTATAATCCTAGCACTTTGGGAGGCCAAGGCAGGTGGATCACAAGGTCAGGAGTTCGAGACCAGACTGGCCAATTATGGTGAAACCCCATCCCTACAAAAATACAAAAATTAGCCAGACGTGGTGGCAGGCGCCTATAGACCCAGCTACTCAGGAGGCTGAGGCAGGAGAATCGCTTGAACCCCGGAGGCGGAGGTTGCAGTGAGCCGAGATCACGCCACTGCACTCCAGCCTGGACAACAGAGACTCCGTCTTTAAAAAAAGATTTTCTCTTTGCTATCCAACTGTGACCAATGTTTCCTAATGACCAGGTCACACTGAGAGTAAAGACTCCCAAAACATCAACAGTCTCTTTTTTAACAAACTAAAAGCAATGTTTGGCAAACTTCATCATTTTCCTGACAGTCTCAATTCTAGAATACGAGAGTATTTGCCAAGCATACGAAATCATTCCTTCTGTTTTGATACAGTCAATAAACAAAAGACTTAGTCATTGACTAAATTCACATGTCAGTAACTATAACTCAACTTCAACCTATAAACAATATTTTGGGTACAATAACCTTAGAAGCTCACTTAGGATAATACCAAGAGATTAGTCCATGAAAACTTCCTTACCTAGCATAAAATTATGTGACAAGTATAACAGAGGGATAAAAACATTCTGTAAAAGTGCTTCATTCTCGATCAATTGTTTTTTACAATTTCAAATAGCTTCCTTATTCATCTTATGCTCCCATTACCCAGCACAATGTCTGACACACTGAAGACACTCAAACATTTACTGAAGGATTGAATTTGAGGGCTGTGTTTAAACACGTAAGATCCCCCTTACTCCATTCCAGACCTTCCCTAGAAGGCGTCCCTTCTTTTCTTTCTCTTTCTAGTCTTGGCTTTCCCCCTCCTCATAAGATGTTGGTGTTCCCCACCTATACATGTGTGTTGTAGAAAGGTGAAAAAAGTCATCATCACCAAGTGATCCAATGCTCTGGCCTGGGACTAGCTGCAAGGTAGAGGCTGCCAAGTTGGGGTGGTATTGGTGGACAGGCTGGCTGTGTCTGTCACCCAGGAGGTTGGGCATGAACTGTCCAGGTCAGCAGGTCAGAGATTGAAATCTGAGGCCTTGGCAGATCAGAACCAGGCAAGAACCAGGCAAGTAGGACAGGGAAAGTTGAGAGCAGATCTCAGTCAGGATACAGAGGAACAGATGAACATGTGATTGACCAATAGTATTAATAAAATGGCAAAAGCAGACCAGAGGTCAGAGTAGCAGTGAGGATTTGCCCAGAGAGGGAGCAGTCAAGAGTTATCTTCAGCTACTCTGGACATACTGCTTATGGGGTAGCCATGCTCTGCAAAAAGTACTTAAAAAAAAAATAAAAAGAGCTATCCTCCCAAGTCAAAGTTTACAGTGGCAGTTTAAAATTTTCCAAGGGCCTCTCCCTGATGATACTTGGTTTTCTTAAAGGGACCTGGTCTAAGAAACCCTTTAGAGCTGCCCTGGTAAACTTCTTTCTAGGGGGCCTGGAAAACAAAGAAGTGACCCTGTACCATGGACATTTTATCCACTATTTTATCATATAGCAGTGGTGACATTTTATCATATAGCAGTGGTGAGGTTGGTGAGGAAGGAAGGACTTTATTCAAAACATCTTTAGAAAATAATCAAACTACATGTTCTACTACATATTGCCATCCCTAAACACATGTAAACACTAATGATTACAACTTAGAGTCATATAAAGTATATCGTGGAGGCCTCAAAGAGAAGGAGAATATGCCTCTTTTATAAGTTATTTTACTCATTCATCTTTCAAGTGGGGGTTTGTCTCTGAGGGTTTCTTAAACAATTGTACTAAGCTAAAAGCATTCCCTTAACATTGGTACAGGAGAGTACCAGCTCTATCAGAATACTTATCACTGTATTAAGTTATATCTTCTTTTACACTATAACCTCCTTCAGGTTGACAGCCATGCCTTATTCATCTTCTTATCTATCTACAGTGCCTAACACAGTATTTGGCACATAGTACTCAAAGAACCTTTGGTTGAACCAAACAGAAAAAAATACCAGATCTGAGTCAGATCTTGGGGTGGGAACTCTTTGGGAGCTGTTTGACCCTGGGAAAATAACAAACAGTTTCTTCATTTATAAGATACAAAAGTATGTGTAATACATATAATTTCATTACCTATGCACACATATCTCACTGACCTCATTCCAAGGACCTGTGATGGTCACATCATCAGGTACAGAAAACAATATCCAGACTCATCCATAACCTTTACAACATCTGAAAAGTTTTTTTTTTCAGTAACGCATAATATAAAAAATCATGGGTTCCTGTTCCAATTTTTTCTATCTCTAAAGCCTTAACAAGTATACACAACAGACAACAATCAGATAGACCAATTCTCCACATTTCAGTATCACTAGGATACCAGTAATCCTGTTTTTCAAACTCTACAATTAAATTATTTTCATGACCAAATCTATCATGGGGCCAGCAGCTCAGATGTACGTTTTTTCTTTTTGATACCAATCTTAACATTTGAAAGACTTTTCAAAGGAAATAAAAATTAAAAGGTGTTAAAAATTGGCATGTCCTTTTGAAAGAGGTTATCAATTCTTTCATCCTTCAAGGCAATACTTGAGAGGAGCACATCAATGAAAGTGTTTTTAAAAATTTTTTGAAACTTATTTTTAGTTGACACATAATAATTGTTTATTTATTTATTTATTTATTTATTTATTTTTGAGACAGAGTCTGGCTCGCTCTGTTGCCCAGGCTGGAGTGCAGTGGTGCAATCTCGCCTCACTGCAACCTCTGCCTCCCAGGTTCAAGCGATCCTCCTGCCTCAGCCTCCCAAGTAGCTGGGACTACAGGCACCCACCACCATGCCTGGCTATTTTTTTTATTTTTAGTAGAGACGGGGTTTAATCATGTTTGCCATCGAACTCCTGACCTCAAATGATCCAATCACCTCAGCCTCCCAAAGTACTGGGATTACAGGCATGAGCCACCACGCCCAGCCAATAGTTGTATATATTTATGGAACACAATGATATTTCAGTATGTGTATACAATGTGTAACAATCAAATCAGGGTAATTAGTATATCAATCACCTCAAATATTTATCATTTCTTTGTGTTGTAAAAATTCAAAATCCTTTTTTCTAGCTTTTTGAAAATATTGGAAATTCTGATATTAGTTCACAATCAAATTCCATCAAAATCATATAAAGCTATGAAACAGCAATAGATTTAGTCTATTTTCAGGAAGGATATGTTTAATAACATATATAGGAAGCCATGGTTTTGCATTGAGCTTCTGTATTAGGCCTCTACAGACCAAACCAAAATGGAGTCACTCACACTAAAATTCCTCCTCACCCGATGGAAACCAAGTTGTTTATATGACCTAAGAAATCAGAAGAGATAACTAACAGCCAAGTTCCCAAACAGGCTGGTTTCAGCCAGCTTGATAAGGAAGTCTTCTCTGTTTTTTCTGGAGTCCAACGGCGCGATCTCAGCTCACCGCAACCTCCGCCTCCCTGGTTCAAGCGATTCTCCTGCCTCAGCCCCCGAGTAGCTGGGATTACAGACATGCGCCACCACACCCGGGTAATTCTTGTATTTTTAGTAGACATGGGGTTTCACCACATTGGTCAGGCTGATCTCAAACTCCTGACCTCAGATGATCTGCCCGCCTTGGCCCCCCAGAGTGCTGGGATTACAGGTGTGAGCCACTGCGCCTGGCCTCTGTTTTAACCTTATAAGGAAAGTAACTTTGAAACAACCAATCTGCTTTTCTTTAGGTAATACATAATATAAAAAATCATGGGTTCCTGTTCCGATTTTTTCTGTCTCTAAAGCCTTAACAACAACAACACAACAGACAACAATCGAATAGACCAATTCTCCAAATTTCAGTACCACTAGGATACCAGTAATCCTGTTTTTCAAACTCAACAATTAAATTATTTGGAGTGCAGTGGTTCTCTGTTTCTGTTTTCTTCAGCTCTTTTCTGCCTATAAAGGC